GTGTAAACCATGACATCACATTTCCCTATGGCCTCTTTTTTCCAACTCTGTTTAACATTGATTTTTCTTCATCAAAATAATATTTAATCAAGAAAAATGCAACTATGAATGTAATTAGACGAAATTCTGCATAACCATGCATGATTTGGGTTCAGAACCAGTGAGATGTAATTGCATTACATGTAGTAATTAAAACCAAACATACAGACTTCTCTATCCAAGCTTATGATCTAATTCAAGAATAAGATATTGTTCACGTCGTTTGGCACCAAGTCAAACACAGCGAGTTCCAACTGTAGAACATGATTGGACTTATTTTACAATAACGTGGCGTTTTAACACGATTCCATTAACAAATAGTATGCACACTGCTGTTGCAAACCTGTGTCCTTTTTATAAAGTAAAAATGAAATATCAAGGCTTCTATCACAAAATAATGTAAGAATATATTGTCACCCTGGACCGTACACGTGGTCGTGCACCGAAGGATGTTCGCATAAAGCACCTAACAATATGAACCGAGGGATTATGAAAACTATGGATCATCATGAGCACATAGTATTTGCTTACAATAAAGACACCTCGAGATTATATATGACTTTCGTCACCACCAGTCAGCTCTATTTAATAGGTCGCCTTCAAACCTCAGCTATGGGTAGCCACCATTAATTCTTACTTTTAACTCTATGAAATATTTAATATAGTGGGCCACTGGTAAAAGGGATACTGAAACAAATTGGAGACTCCTACCTCCAGGGACCCATTCCGAGGCCCTTACCCTAATAGATTTAACGATAATGACAATCAATGAACCAGAGTTAAGTTGCCCAATGATTCACTTCTAAGACTTGAATTTTAGTAGCATTTTAGCCACCAAAACCATTTGGAAAAATACACCCCCACACATTAGGGATGGCAACAGGCGCTCCTAGAGATTTTTGACAGGGGACAAAAAAATACCCCAGTCCTCATTTCTGGGAATGAGGGTTCCACAGAATTCTCCATTCTCACTGAATTTTAATATAATATTAAATTTTTTGGTTAACCACAAAAACAAACAAATTTTTTTGAAATAAATCGCACGCTGAAAAAATTTGACACTATATTTTTTTATTGGAAATTTGACACTATAAATGTTAAATTTTTAATTTCAAATATAAAAATAAATTTAAAATAAAAAGTTAACTAACTAATAAAAAAAATAAATAAATAATAAAGATTTTGTAAATTGAGAACTTTAAAATAAATAATGAATTAAGTTGAGTTGAGTTTATAAAATATATAATGAATTAAGTTAGGTTGAGTTTATTATAATTATATATATAATTATATATGTAAAACTTTTTGAGGGATTGATATCCCCGCGGGACTTTATGAAGTTGGAAAATTTCTTTACGAGGAAAAAGTTAAATATTCCTCAAATTCCCATCTTTATGATGAGCATCTTTGTAAGGTTTTACGAGTAGTGAAAAAAATTGTTATTTTTAATCTAATACATATTTTCAAAAAAAAAAAATGGCAATAAAAGTGAATGGTCATGATCTGTTATTGCCTTATGATGAAACATATTAGTAAAATCTTCTATGGAATTTAATTCTAAGAGAAGTTCTAGTAAAATCTTTAATGGGCAATTCTTTAAATTTATTTTCAAAACATAGCAATAATTGAGAAATGAGAATAGAGCAAGAGGAAGCGTACGGGCAATGGTGGTTTAAAAGAAATGAGGTCGCTTTGGAGAACGCCAATGCTAGCAGACAAAATGACGTATTTGGCTTCGTAGACACAACCATCCTCTGTTTTCACCGTAACGCCGTTTCTCGAGTGCTGCAACTCCCTTACAACCTGTATAGAATACATGCAAGGAAAACTTTAATTGCTTTAAATTGTTTATCTGAGTAAAACAAAAGATGATGAATAGGAGTCAAGATATAGAGGAATCAATCAATACTCTTATAAGAAGTCAAACCAAGGAAAACCGTGCAATTCAGAATTTAGAGGCAAAATGGTAAAGATATAATGAACAAAGAGGTACATGGAGCTCCACTACCCATTTATGGAGGTTTCTGAAGGCAACGGAACAGTACTACAATTTGTATGGAAAACAGGTTTCCTTGATGTCTGGTTTTAAAGGCTCAGAGCAACGTCGATGATGAAGACAACAACAATATTAAATGAAGAAAATGACAAGTCTCCCTATTTGCATGTTTATATAAATCAACCTTGACAAGACATCTCACCTCCTGGGTGTTGTTCTTTTCTTGAGTAATGGCTGCTAGTGTGCAGGACAGTGAAAATTGAGGAATTCGGGACCCTACTGATTTGATGATGGGGTAAAGGGTCTTAAAAGGTTGTAATTTGTAAAGATTATGCTGATGTAATGGCTGTATCATTGAGAAATGGAAAAAATAATAATAATAAAGAAAAATAGTTGGAGGTCATATTATGGCCTTGCAGGGTCCTCAAACTCGAACTCACTGAAATTATTTCAGATATGGGAGTGGACCCAACATTTGAAATTGACTGGTTATATCTTTTCTTGGTTTTAAACACTAGAAGATCAATATAAAGTTCCTGTGTAGCATTTAATTTTAATGTTCAGACGAATCAGAAGGAGGAAAAGGAACAAAACCTCAAGGGCAGATGATGAACATGATCAACGCAATGAAGGGAGGGAAATTCACATAAAAAAATAATTAAATTAAAAAAAACCCCGAGAGCAGCTGAGACTTGACGTGATGACAAAGGAACAACTAGTGTGAGCTGTAAATACAATCATCAACCTCAACTTAGGCAAAAAAAAAAAAATCTCCAATCTCAGCAAACCTGAATTTCAGCACTACTGTAACTCTACAGGCCTCTACTTATGTTTTAAAAGAGACTAACGAACTTTTTTTTTTTTAGCACCAAACCTTATGAGGTCAATTGTTAAGTGCATAAAATATTTTGATATTAATTAAAATTATAATTATAATATTATCATACTAAAATTTATCATTCTCTTATACCTAAATTATACTGGTTCAAAAAAAAAAAGAACATATTTTAAAAGTCATGCAGAGTAGTTTTTCAGTTTTTCTTGGGAGGTATATTTCATGATGCAATAAATTTCAGGAACGGAAATTGTTTTCAATAGACGTCATTATCAGCAAAATCCGAAAAGTGGGTCACTCAAATCTAAGAAACAAGCGGCCAGAAAACATCTCGGAAACAAAGAAAGCAGTGCATCTGCGCATGCATACAAAAAGGGCTTTCTAATTTTTTGTATATAAACTAGTATTTTTTTTCCATTTTTAATTTTAAACTCATCCCACCTCTATTTTTCCATCCATTATTGGGGTTTGTGTCGTAAGCAAACCAAACAAGCAAATCATACGAGCAAAAAAAAAAAAAAAAGGAAATCAAAACGAACGGAGAAAAGGACAGCTAAAAGCAAGAAACCAGGGGCTTAGCCTAGACTTTATTTTATATACCTTGTTTAGCTTGAGACGATCATCCAAGATTTTGCCTTCAGCGGTTAATAAAAAGTCCTCAGCCATTTTGTAGAGTAAATGCTCATAACCTCTTTCATCTGCAACCAGAAATTCTCTTTCTCCGAAATCTACATATGTAGATATTGGCTCCACCTCTGCGAACGAACCCCAACAAATTACTCACTCACTAATTGTGAAATTAAAAGAAATCCAACAAACCCATTGTGCCAGTTTGAATTGAAGCAAAAATTGAGTTACCTGCCATCTCAAAATCATGTAATATGAAGTCGATTGCGAGCTCAATGGGTGTTTTTGGTATGCTGAACAATCAAAAACATTAATTCTCTGCGCAGGGGAACCAAATTGCTAAACAGGCTTAGGTACTTACGAAATCGATTCGGTTACTGTAGAGATATCGTCGACATTGTTAACCTCTTGGTTCCTTAGATTCTGAATTGCTGAGTCCACCGCCTTTTTGTACGAGTCCGCTGCGATTCCACTAGGAATTATCTTACCACTGCAATTCATAAGAAGAAAAATTCGGTTAAATTAAAAATGCTGTTTGGCGCCGGTGAAACCAAAATGTGGAAACCGCGTAGCCTAGACAAGGCCGGTATAAACTTCCTCAGTTCCAAACGACAAACGTCAAGTAATCACCGTGAGAGAAAAATTGGGGAAAAATATATATATATATATATATTTGAGAAATTAAATTTGGTTCGGTTTCGGACCTTCGATCGTAGATGTTATACCGTGCATTGCTATAATCAGAGAAGCAGGTTCGCAGGCCCAGCCGGGAACCGAGCTCCCAGACCGGATTGGACTCTTTTCCACCGACTCCGGCGATCCAACCTGCGCCGAGCTCCACCGACACGCCTCCAAACTTCTCTTTCCGGATCCTACCGCCGATACGATCCGACGCTTCCAGAATCACCAAATCCTCAATTCCGTTCTCAGCCAACACCTTGGCGGCAGATATTCCTGAACATAAGAGAACAGAACGACGCATTAAAACGATGATACATCTCGCTCAAAGCAACTTCAAAGTCATAAACTGATTTTTACAAATTAAGCCGTTCGAGTGGTGGATAAATGCTTTACCGGAGATGCCGGCGCCGACGACGATGACGGATGAGCGGGAAGGAGAATCCATTAACGGAGAGGAAAAATAAAATGTGTGTTGTGTGTTGTGTGTTGTGTGTTGATGTTTGGAATTTGATCTTCGTCTTTGGGTGCTCTGCTCTGCTCTGCAGAAATAGCGGGAGTC